GAAGAGTCTGTAGGATGCATTAGGTTCTAAACTGAGATTGAGTTCTGCGTATCACCCAAAAACTGATGGTCAGACAGAGAGGACTATTCAGTCATTAGAGGATTTGTTGAGAGCTTGTGTCCTTGAGAAAGGAGGTACATGGGATAGTTACCTTCCACTGATTGAGTTCACTTATAACAATAGTTTTCATTCCAGTATTGGTATGGCACCTTTTGAGGCATTGTATGGTCGGAGGTGCTAAACACCTTTGTGTTGGTACGAATCTGGTGAAAGTGTGATGCTTGGACCTGAAATTGTACGAGAGACTACGGAAAAAGTAAAGTTAATTCGGGAAAAGATGAAAGCTTCGTAGAGTAGACAAAAGAGTTACCATGACAAGAGAAGGAAGGTCCTTGAATTTCAAGAAGGGAATCATGTATTTTTTAGAGTCAACCCAATTATCGGTGTTGGGTGAGCATTGAAATCGAAGAAGCTTACTCCTTGATTTATTGGCCCGTATCAAATTTCGGATAAAGTGGGAATTGTTGCGTATAGAGTGGCCTTACCACCTAATCTTTAGAATTTTCATGATGTGTTCCATGTGTTGCAACTTCAGAAGTATATTGCAGATCCATCTCATGTAATTCTGATAGATGACATACAGGTAAGGGATAATCTTACGGTAGAAACCTTACTAGTGAGGATCGAAGACCGTGAAATGAAGAAGCTGAGAGGTAAGAAAATACCTCTAGTGAAAGTAGTCTGGGGAGGAGCAGCTGGAGAAAGCATGACGTGGGAGTTAGAAACCAAGATGCGGGAGTGTTATCCAGAATTGTTCATATAAGGTAATTTTCGAGGACAAAAATCTTCTAAGTGGGGGAGAGTTGTAACACCCCGATTTAATTAGAATTATTTTTATTTAAAATAATTATATGAGATGATGTGTTTACTTGTGTTGACATATTTTATCATGTGATGTGATGCAATTCGGAAAATTAGAGGTTGAAGTGTTGAGGGGTGTATGACTAAAAGTGTAGAGAACAGGGGGTGAATAGAGAATATTAGTATTATTATATTATTTGTTATTAATTATTATGAGTAAAATAGTTTTTATAATATTCATAATTAAATAAGTAATTAAGTTGAGGAAGGACATTTTTGGGATATAGATATTAGGGGTCTAGAGGTCGATATAAGAAAACAAAAGTGAGAACACGACATATAAATCGTAGAACGAGAAAAGGCAAGGAGAAGGAAAAAGTCAGGGCAAAGAGGAATCCACAATCTTGGGAAGATCAAAGCTTCGAATCAAGTTAAGGGGGTGAATGGATTCTATAATTGGTGATTTTACATGAGAGGGTAGTGAGGGTTCCATTTCCTCTTAGGTTGTTTTTGGTGTATTTGATGCATGATTGATCTTTGTTGAATTGAATGATGTTGTTGTATTTGATTGAGTATGGGATTGTGATGTTATGATTGTGAATTATTGTTGGTGATTTTGTTGTTATGATGATGGTACCACAAAACCTCAACCTAAAACCTATGAGTAATATAAATTAGGATTAGAGGATTTGATGATGAAAAAGGACCCGTAATTGGTGTACAAAATGTATTGCATTGTGATGAATTGATAGGTAGTGAAACTCTATGTGTAAATGACTTTTTAGGACCCGTAATATGACAAAATTGCAGGAAAATTGGTTTGGTATAGTGCATAATCGCAAGCAGGAAAACCCTGTTCGCAGAGTATCGTCGGGCGATACAGCGCCGGGCGAAGGTGTTTCGCCAGGCGAAAGCAGAGGCGAGAAGGAGGCGAATTTTAGATGAGTTACTGGAGGGTGTCACACCTAGTATCACCAGGCAAAGGGTGAGGCGAAGGAAGTTTCTCCGGGCGACACAGGGCTTTGTCGGGCGATGGATGGCAATAGTTGAACGTTGTTTTGGACTTTCTTGAATCGATCATAACTTTAGTTTTAGGAATCTGATTGAGGTGTCGTTCGAAGCAGTAGGTAGCTAACACCACGAACTATGATTCGAAGGATAAGAATTAATGAAAAATATTATATTTCTAGTACCTAAGTTAGGATAGGAATATTTTCCCCCTCGTTTCACCGAAACAGTAAGTTGTTTATTGCGATGTTGTTTTGCTTACGATGCTGTTATGAGGTAACGTTGATGATTATGATGATAATGATGTGGATGGTCTAAATTGTCACCATGATGAAGGATTATGCCTTGTTGTTGTATAATTTATGTTGTTGCATGATATTGTTGCATGCATTCATTGGTGAGGGCTTATTGCTCTGATGTTGGCCTGGAATGGCGTTGTGATGAGGGCTTATGCTCTGTTGTTGTCCAATTGACAATATGTTGGGGGCTCATGCCTCGATGGTACCACATGCATGTTTATGTAGGTCTCATTGCATTACATTGATGATTGAATTGATGTCGTATACTGTGAATGATGGTTGTTTATGATGTATTGTTCGTATGATGTGATTTTCTATTCCTTAGCATGTTTTATTCATCGTGTGATTATTGAATGAAATTCTCACCCATTTTGTGTTGTTGTGCATGTGCTCCTCGGGAGTACAGATAATCAGGTACCCGAGTAGTTCTAAAAGAGATGTTACCAGATCGAGTCTTAGGAGTCGCTCTGATATGTAATATGGGATTTGGGGCTTTTACTATGTTTTTGCATGATTTCAATTGTTGCACGTTTACTATAAACTTATGATGGACCACATATTATGGAGTTTGATTTATTGTTGAGGCTAGAATGTGATTGAACCGATTTAAGTTGATTTTCCGCTGCTGAATAAATATTTTGGATAAACGAAGAAATAAAGTGTTTTGAAACTTTATGGATTTTTGGATTATGTGACATTCCATTGTGGACTCTGATGCATTCTTTTTCATGATTTTATATTATATTTATTAATTTGGGAAAATGGGGTGTTACAATAGGCGTCACCAATATGTCTTACAATTCCCTATTTTCCTCAACCAGAATAATATGCGACACACGGATCAATATTTTGATTGATACAAATCGGTTACTAACCCAGAAATCCACGTGTCTCACTTGAGGTATTTGATCGACCCACGAACACAATGGGCACAAACCTCAAATCCCCAACAACAAACCCAACGCACATCAATCTTCCACCAAACACCACGACGATACAGATCCACAAACACCCAACTGCAATCACCACCTCAATACCAATACACTCATATGCCCCACACCCAACCTCAATCCCAATCTCAATACTAATACACCCACATGTCCCACACACAATTCCAGTCTTCTGAACATCCCGATGTGGACCCCTCACCATCTCACCTTAGTCCAGATCTAGGTTTTCCTGAAGAATATGACCTAACTGACCAAACTTACCATCAACCACCACATCACCATAGCACCCAACAATCGCAATACCAAACACCCTAAGATTCATTTCCTTTTTACCCCCTTACTCATACAACCAGTGCTATAAATCATCCATAGAATCCCACCCCCCCACCAAGACAAACAAACTTTGAGGGCATGGGTAACCGACTGTACCAAAGCGGATCTTCTAGATATGGTTATCTGACAGATTTCATGGATTTTGAACGCATTGACTTCGCTGGGCCATCGACCCAACCGCAACATGAAAAACGATGAAACCTACCACGAGATAGGTGAGGACGCATGTGCGAAACCACAGGCCGTTACCGAGTTCTGGAGGACAACTAAATAATATGCATGGTTTTTTTCATTATGTAATCGTTCATTTGTTAATGAAAAATCGAAGTTTCATTAAGCTATATCGTTTACTTATTGTCTCTTATTTAAAATAGAAAGCAAAAAAAATTGGGACTTAAATGCACTTAGGCCCATCTGAATTGACTTAGGGAAAACACGTTGCACCTATACGTCATCTCACTTGGCGCCTCCATATAAAATAAAGAGGATGCGCCATCTCACGTGACTCCTTTATTTAAGTGTTTTCTAAAACATGGTTATTTGCATAATTTTCTCTAAAATATGATTATTGTGTATTTTTTTTCAATACCTAATTATTACTAAAAAAAATCAATATTTTAATTATTTTATTAAATATTAATAATGAAATGCTCTTAACATCTAATGTTTTTTTTTTTAAATGTTATTTGTTTGAAGAGAATAATACTCATCATCTACCGTATAAAACTAATATATTTAATTGAAGGCACATATAAACATAATTTATACCGTTAATATATAACAATTAATCTTTTGTTTAAATTTGTATGCATCAAAGTAAAACAATTATATTCTTTATTACTTTAATTATATCATGTATAAAATGATTTTTCAAAAATAATTAAAAGGAAAGCTTTATATTTTTAGTAAAATAATTTTTATAATAATAAAAAAGAAAAATATTCAGTATTTTGTTAAAATATAATATTTTAATAAAAGTAATAAAGATTTTCTTTCGACCATTTTAATGGAATTTACACTAGACAAATTTTTTTTTTTATTATTTTTTTTTTATATTATTAATAAAAGTAATAAAAGTAATATAAATAGTATAAAGAATTTAAAGAATATAATTATTGACAAATAATATAAAGAAGAGTTTTGATTTATCTTCTTATTTAGTTTTTTGCAAATCACATTTTCATTTTAGTTAGTTAAAATTTTGAATATAGGAAAAAATAATTAAATTTAAAATTTTGAATATAGGAAAAAATAATTAAATTTAAAATTTTCTATTATTTATTTATTTATTTAGATATTTTCCAATTAGACATTTTTAAATTAAGTAAATATAATTTTTTTGAATAGATATCTTTTAATCTTTTAATTAGAATAGAAAGAAGAAAAAAAGATAAGAGACAGAAAGTAAAACCGAAACACCACCGAAGCACTACGTCATCAGTTGTTGGAAAACCCAAAAAGAACAAAAACGCGGTTTCAGTTTCTCTCTTCTTTTGACTCTTCTTCACCATTTTGTTATTGGAAAACCAAAAATCAAAGAAGAAAAAAAATGGGTTGTTTCGCAAGCAAAAGCTCTGAGACGAAGGCGAGTAGAGTCTCACGGTGGCGATCCACTGGCATTGTTGCTCTGCGTGATTCCAAATTGAAGGTAACTGATAACTCAACCTTCATCGTTTCATTTTCATTGTTTTTGATCAATTTTAATTATTCGATTTAGGTTTTTTTAATTCGCCTATTTTATTTTATTTTGTATTTGTTGGTTGATGCATGTTGTGTGTGTGTGTGTTGAATTTGATGAACCTTCCTTGTGGATTAAATTCAGTCTCGTAAGTATGAATTGCGGACACAGGAAACACGATAATAATTTGAAAAAAAATAATAATTAAACGTAATCACAAGTGTTTTTGCAAGTGTCGGAGTCGGTTTCGGAGTTTTATCAGAGGTGTAAGTGATAAAGAGCTTATAAGTGTGGCTCAGGTGGCTAAAAGGTTCCCTATGCATGTTGTCATAAGCTCTGTGGCACCAACATCTTTGAAAGAAGGTGCGTCATTGTTTGTGTCCGAAATCAATACCAACACTTGTGATTACGTTTTTTTTCTTCAAATTATTACTGGTGTTGATGTGTTAGTGTTGGTGTCGTGTTTCCGGTGTCCGTGCTTTTCATAGGTCATAAGTTCCATAGTTTGTGTGTATGGAAGAATATTTGCCGGGAATGTTTGTTTTTTAAGACCTTTCATCTTTGTACCTAAAGGAAGTCCCAGACTCCGATGAGATCAGTATTTGCTAGCCTGTTTGTTTTTTACGGGAAAACATGTGACTTACCTTGGTTTCTTTTGCTTTCCTTGTAAAACAGACTTTTCCGGATGAAATTATTGATTTAGACAGAACTGTACGCACTCTTGATTTAACGCATAATCGAATAGGTAAGCAATTTTCTTTCCTTTTACTTACATTTTGGTTAAGAAGCCTTAGCTCTGAAGTAGTTGTAATAATTCTGACCTCATAAAGATTATCATTATTGTTGTTGATACTGTTATTTTATTGCTAATAAATTTATTTTCACGTCTGCAGCTGACATTCCTTTGGAAATTAGCAAATTGATTAATATGCAGCGCATGGTAAGAACCTGACATTTTACTCTATGCTTGCCGCATCTATTTCTTAAAATCCGTGCATTTTATCTTAGGAAGTAAATTAAATCAGCTGCAATAGATTTTGGCATCGGTTTGACAATCCTTTTTCGTAAAAGTTATTTATTTTATATATATTCTGTCATTTATTATGAACTCGATTTCTCAAGTATGTGCTGTTTTGTAGTATAATTTGATTGGTTTTATTCAGTCAATTTCAAACAAATTTGTGTTTAAACTTTGAAAGGATAGTATATAGTATATACCACATTTCATTTCCAGTTGTATGCACCATTGTCGATTTAATGTCCACTTTTTGTGTCACTAGTGAAATTACCATCTGATATTTTGTTGATTCACAAGCATGTGATAGAAGGCTTTGGAACTTGTAAAAAAATTGCAACAGGAGTGATGCAGGCAATACTTAACATTCTTTTCAACGAACTCCTCCTATTCATTAGATGAAATTCATGGCTGCTAGTTTAGTTTTTTATTTATCAGTGCTGTAGTCGCCGATGAATGATGATCGATAAAAAATACTATTATGTACTGAAGGTGCACTAACATGGTCATGGTTGCTCGCATGTTTAATTTTTTTATTAGTGCTGTAGTTGCTGATGATCGATAAAAAAAATACTATTATGTACTGAAGGTGCACTAACATCGCAGGTATTAACAGACAACATCATTGAGAGACTGCCCGTGAATTTGGGGAAACTTCAATCTCTTAAGCTCATGAACCTTGATGGAAATCGAATTACTTCCTTGCCTGATGAATGTGATTCCTCTTCTTTCACCCAATAAGATACTTTTTTAAAAGAAATGTTACTTTCCCTCTTTTATATAATAACCTACAGTGTATTTTGTTTGTAGTGGGCCAGTTAGTAAGGCTTGAACGCTTATCCATCTCAGGGAATTTGTTAACATCCTTGCCGTCAACTATTGGAAGTTTGAGAAACGTAAGTAATTATAAATAATGAAACCTCAATTTTGTCCGACTTTTTATATTTATTTTGCATTTATGGAATTTGGAAGATTGCATGCACACTGTATTTATGTGTAGATAGAGTATCATCACTGCATGATATAGAGAACTCAAGACTATTTTATTTTCACTATCTTTCTTATCTTGTTTGATAATGCAGCTGTTGATTTTAAACGTCTCAAATAACAAGTTACAGTTCCTTCCAGAATCTGTTGGGAGTTGCTTCTCTTTGGAAGAATTACAAGCCGATGGTATGTTTCTAATTGACGGTTTGACACGACTTTTTCATTTCTGCAGTGCATGAGCATGGTAATGCATGTCTTTTTTCTTGTGTTTTTTCCTTGTAAAAATTTGAAATGATTGGTGAGATTTTTACCTAATTGATGTGTTATTTATTTAGTTTAACTGGATTATGTTGATTGTTAGTCTGATTCAGAGAATCTACTGTTTTGTTATTTCAATACCAATGGAAGTTTTGGTTTTATGGAAGATATAAATTCAAGATTAGATTGCTTTAAGACTTTAAGTTTGAGAATAGTTTTCTTTTCTTACAAGTTACATCATATCTCTAAATCAAAGCTAAGGTGTTTACACTGTCTTATGCTTTCTAGTTACTTGGTCTAGTCTAATTTAATTTATTCAAAAGTTACAATTTGGTTATAATTTGAACAAACTATAATATTTTGGGTTCAAAAATGATTATGGCGATATAACATAAGACCAACGCCCTTGTGATTTTCCATTTTTATGATTATCAAATTTCGATATTTGGAACATCATGCACCACTTTTCTTATTTATTTGGCTTAATGCTGCTTCTGAGTGAATCTAATTTCAGACTTTTTGTGAACATCTCAGATAATCTTATTGAAGATCTTCCTTCTTCAGTGTGCAATCTCTCTCACTTGAAGTCACTTTGCTTAGACAACAATAATGTGAAGCAGGTACCATTTTGTTAAATTTTATTGTAGATTTAATTTAAATTTGAAAAAGAATTGGGTTGTTAGGGTAAATTTGTCTAAAAAAGGTTCAATAGTCTTCTATTATCTCGTAGAATTGGTTACCAAAAGGTTCGATTGCATTTTACCTTTTGTTAGTTTGGTTTGCTTTATTAATTTTCATGCAATACTGTTAAATTAGGCTTAAGATACTAGATGCTTTTAATATTATTCTCCCAATCCAAGATTCTACGAGTTTATGTAATCCGGAATGTCTTGGTGATACTTCGGTTTCCTTTTGGGCAGATTCCTCAGAATCTATTGAAAGATTGCAAAGCTCTTCAGAACATATCACTGCATGGTAATCCTATATCGATGGACCAATTTCAACAGGTATGCTCTTGTTCCCCGATTTTATTCTTCTTTTTCGCTTATCTACTTTTCAATGCAATTAAAGTATTGGCGATTATCTAGATGGACGGGTTTCAAGAGTTTGAAGCAAGAAGAAAAAAGAAATTTGACAAACAAATTGATTCAAATGTAATGATTGGCTCCAAAGGTCTTGATGAGGGTGTTGATCTATGAAATGTCTCGGGATTTTCCGGAGCTAGTAATAAATGGTTGAGATGTACATTTTGGTGAACTTTGGTTGTAGCATTGTACATTTTGCCTGCAAATATGTTAGATTATAGACGGAGACGATGTCGAACAATAGTCTTAAGATTTCATATAAATGATTTGATGCCAGTTTGTTAACAATGAAAAGGGTGCTATATTATGTTATATATACCGGAAGCTGTAAATTAAGACTAATTTTGATGCAATATGAAAGGCACTGCATTCTTTACACTCTCAATTTTATTAAGTGCAATAGAAGATCATTCTCTTGCACTAGTGAAAATTTTCATATCTCATAATGATTCTAAATGATGAAGGCTTATGATGATTTGAAGTGAGGATTTAGAAAAAGATCATCGTATCTTGAGTTCGATTCCTCGACTTTAGTATCTTCTGCTGCTATTTTGAGATTATTATTGGATGATTATGACTCATGTTGATCCTCTTATTTATATTGGAAAATAAGAAAATAATTAAAATAAAATTATAAAAATATGAAAATGCAACTAAAAATCAAATTAACAATCTATAAAAAAAATTTATAGATTTTTTCAAAAATATGAATACAGAAACTAAATAAAATCAAATAGAAAAACAAGGAGTTTAGCTTCAGAGTCGATTTTTAAAAAAAAAATCGAGTTTTTTATGCTAGGCAACGTAAATGGCAGAAATGTAGGAACACAGAAGACAGAGTGCGAGAATACAATTTCTATGACTCTAATATTGGTTAAAATTGACAAAGTCTCCGACAACGGCGTCTATTTCAATGAAAAACGTGTAGCAAATAGGGTCATGAGTGTTATCGGAGATGCATATCCGAAGGCACTCTAGAAAATTTCGGAGATGCATCTCCGAACTAATTTTTGGCAAAAATGGAGTGACTGCTTTATTTACGAAGGATGAGGTGATTTAAGTTGTGTCGAAAGATACATCTCCGAAACTTTCTAAGGACATTTTTGAGTTTTCAAGAGTGTGGGAGAAGGTACAACGATGGGAAAAGAAAGAGTTTAAATATAATGTTTAAACTACTATTTATTTTTGGAAGATCCTCGATCCACCTCCCACTTATCTTTGGGATTTTCCAAATTGTCAATATTATTGGATGTATGTAGTAATTCAAATGAATTGTATAAGCTTCTACGAGCATATTGGAGGAAATAACTTTAAAAATAAGCACTTTTGGAAGCTGGAATTTGCTTTTCTCGGGTTGGTATCTGGTTACGGGAAATAGCGTAACTGGTTACAACCGACGTTTTCAGTTTTCTTTTCTGTTTTAGCAGGCGTAATCGGTTATGGTGTTTGGTGTAACCGATTACGAACCTGTGTTTTGAATTTTTAGCTTATTTTTTAAGTTGTTTTGTTTTCCAACAGTTTTGTTGGCTTGTATAAATATCCCTCAAGTTGTAACATTTCAGTTGATGTCATTTATTACATATTTTCTCCTCAACCTCTCTCTCTCTCTCTCTCTCTCTCTCTTTCTCTCTCTTTTATTTTTTCACTTCATCTTCTCCAATTATCACATTTTCTCCATTGATTCACCATAAAGTTTTATGTATGTTCCAACATTTGACATCAAAAGTATTGATTCTGATCCATAATCTGCTGTAAAGATGAATATCGTTTCTAATGGTAGAGTTTCCACCAACCTATGGATTCTTGATTCGAAGAATTATGACAAGTGGCCAAAACAAATGAAGGTTTTATTTGGGTATCAAGACGTTCTTGAGGTGATCAAGAATGAAGTTACTCCACTTGGGGCAAAAGTTACAGATGCTCAGAAGGTTGCATTCAATAAAGAGAATAAGAAGTATTACAAGGCACTCTTCTTGATTCATTCTTGTGTCAATGGTGACAATTTTGAAAAAGTTAGCAATTGCGATTTAGCGAAGCAAGCTTGGGAGATCTTAGAAAAAACTTATGCAGGGGCTGATAAAGCAAAGGTGGTGAGGTTATAAACTCACAAGAGACAATTTAATTTGATTCAAATGGAAGAGAATAAGACGATAAATGATTAAGTAACGTAAATTACGCGTTTGGTGAACCAAACTAAGTCTTGCAGAGAAACTGTTTCGGAGCAGAATATTGTGTCGAAGATCTTATGTTCTTTAACATCAAGATTCAACAACATTGTAGTGGCAATTGAAGAATCGAACGAACTTTCGACATTGAGCAAAGATGAGCTTGAAAGCTCTCTTGAGGGTCATGAACAAAAGATGGATGAAAAGGGAAATGACAAGGCTAAAGCGGAGATTATGTTGCAAGCACGGTTCAATGAGAAGAGTAAAAGATCAAAAGGAAAATGACCTTTGAAAGGTAAGACAAATTTCCAAAATTTTGGTGCAAAAAATTCACAAAATTCGAAGGTTTCGATGGGGCAAAGAGGTGAGAGGAGCTCCAAAGGTAGTGGTCAAGACATCTGCACCAAGAAGATTGATAAGAGTAATGTGAAGTGTTACAAGTGTCATAGACTTGGTCATTTTGCAAGAGATTGCAATGCGAAATAAAGAGAAAATCAAAGCCATGAGGCTAAGGTTGCAAAGTAGAAGGTGGGTGGTGAAAATACGCTTCTGGTTATGATCGTATAGGAGTATTTTGATAGTAATAAGTTGCTGGAAAATAGCAGTAGCATCTACAAGTTGTTGGGCAGCAGATGCAGCAGTTTGAAAAACATTGCAGAAACGCCTTCAGAGCAAAACATAATGGTAATGGTTCTAGATGGATTCTAAGACAGTGATGAGTGGTACTTAGATTCTGGTTATTCAACACATATGACAGGTAGAAATGATTGGTTTGTCAAAATCAACCAAGCTACGAAGAATAAGGTGAAATTCGCAAACAATACACTTTAGCAATCGACGGGGTCAGTGATGTTTTGATCATGAGAAAGGATGATGGTCATTCCTTAATCAAAGATATGTTATACATCCCAGGAATCAAATATAATCTCTTAAGAATTGGCGAATTACTAGAGAAGAATTACATGATTTACATGGAAAACAAGATTTTACGCGTTTTGGACAGAATTGGGGTTTTAGTCCTTAAAGCACCCATGGATGCCAATAGAACTTTCAAGATAGAGTTGAAAATGATGGAGCATAGGTGTCTTGCTACATAGGCAAGTCTAGAAGAATGGTTGTGGCACTACCATCTTGAACATCTCAATTTTTTAGACTTCGACGCGTTACAAAGGGATGGTATGGTCACTGAGTTGCCAAAAATCAATGTTCCAGCTGAGACATGTGAAGAGTGTGTGCAAGGGAAGCTGCACAAGAGTAGTTTTAGCAAGCATGCAGGTCATAGGACCAAACATCACCTTGAGGTGGTGTACTTCGATGTTTACGGGCCAATGCTAGTCGACTCGTATGATGGAAATAAGTACTTTGTCACTTTTATTGATGATTTTAGTAGAAAACTATGGACATATCTAATAAAGAGAAAGGTGAGGTATTTTATGTGTTTAAGAAGTTGAAGTCCATGGTTGAGTGTCAAAGTGATCACAAACTCAAAATTCTCAAAAACGATGGTGGAGGTGAATATACCTCGAATTAGTTTAGGAAGTATAGTGATGAAGATGGGATAATGAGTGAAGTTGTGCCACCCTATATGCCACAACAGAATGGTGTTGCCGAGAGGAAAAACGTTCTATAATGAACATGGTTCGAAGCATGTTAAAGGGAAAAAAACTTGTCGAAGGAGCAATGGGGTGAAGTTGTTAGAACAAGATTTGGTTCTGCAATATTATCTGAGTTTTGATGATAACAAATGAGTATGTTTGTATGAACAATTTTTATACTCTAATATTTGTTATTTTTTAGTATTTAACAAACAGGTTCTGCTTCTGATGGATGGCGTGGCCAAGACATTAAAAGAGAATTAGTTTCGCTTCTGCGCTACACAAGTTCTGATGAACAGTAATAAGACACTCTAGAAGCTTCTGAAGTGTATGCCTTGATGTTTGTCTAAAGAAACAAGTCAGAAGATCTGAAGACAGAAGTTCTACTTAAGTCCAGATGCTGAAGACTCATGCTTCTAAAGACAGCGTGTTCTAAAAAAACAAGTCAGAAGATCTGAAGACAAAAGTTTTACTTAAGTCCAGATGCTGAAGACTCGTGTTTTTGAAGATAACTTGTTCTAAAGAAACCAGTCAAAAAGACCTGAAGACAGAAGTTCTACTTAAATTCAGATGCTAAAGACTTAAGTTTCTAAAGACCCGTGGTTATAAGAAAAGAGTTCTAAAGACCAGGTGTTGAAGACTCTGAAGATAGAATTTCTAAAGACTCTGAAGACCCAAGGTTCTAGAAAAGGTTCTCAAGACCAAGTGCTGAAGATTCTGAAGACGAAGTTCTGAAGACTTGAAGTTCTAAAGACCCAAGGTTCTAGAAAAGGTTCTCAAGACCAAGTGCTGAAGTTTCAAAGACAAGGTTATGAGTGAACAAGTTCTGACGAGTGAAGACTTAATTATCTGGAGATTCAAATGTCACGTTTCTACTCATGCTTCAATTGTCTACCATCAGAAGTCTCTAAAGTTTAGAAGACAAATGTTACCATTATCAATGACAAGTACACAGTACAAAAAAGCCTTATCCCACTACGTCTCCACTAGCTTGAATTATGGAAAAGAAAAAGACGTGGCAGTACTATTTTCATCATTGTGTAACGACTATTTTTCAATAGCCAACGACTCTATTTTGCTTGGAAATACAAGAAAAAGGATCATATGCTTAATATGACGTTGGTGTTCAATGTTAAAATGAAAGTTGTCTTTATTGGAACACAACAAAAACTATCAACCACTATAACAACAACAAGAACAATTGTTATCAAAATCATTCTTGAATCATGTTGTTGATTACAATATAACAATGAAGTCATTGATTCACGATGTGCTTAATTTCATATACTGCAAAAAGTTTGCTAAGCCGCAAAAGATAATGAAGATGTTCATGGAAGCCCTAATTACAAATCCA